GTTCTATCCTCGCCAAATAAACCCTCAATTTTCCCTATAACTATACAGAAAATGGAGATTATAATTTTTTTTCTTTTTTATTATCTAATGTATTTGTTTAAAAAATAATTTTTAAAAATTATATCCAATCAAATAATAAAATATAATTTTTCTTCTTTTTTTTGTCTTAACCACAGTATCCCGAGCCCACTGGGCTAAAACGAAGTCCCGCTAGAACCAGGTCAGTCAAAGAAGGGGTAAAGTGCTCCTAGCAAGTATTTGCCTCATCCATGAAAATTGAATCCTCGACATCACTTAAGGGAGAAGAGTGTCGAACTACTCATCAAAACATTCTTTGGTATAAAATGTAATTTTTGAATTGGCTATGACTAAGGCTATTTTAGGATATTCCAAATTTCATTAAGGACGTTATCGAAAATCCCATTATTCCCACTATTCCCATATTTATATATAGGAACTATATATCTCATGAGAAAGTGTATACATAATGTTTATTACCTCTATACATTGTGTGAGTTGCTTGAACTACTGTTTCAAGTAAATTATGTGACTAGACATTTGTAGTGAATTTTATTTGTAAACCACTTTTGTGTTCTAATCTAAGAATTGTGAAATTCAAGTGGTCTTATGTATATGGAATTTAAATACCTCACTGTTGAAGGTCTGGTGATGAAACTGAGACACAAAAGGTTGAGTATATATTATTGTTAATTAATAATTGTTACTGTATTAACCAACTAACTCATAGCTTTTATAAGACAAGTTGGTAGCATAAATTTTGAGCTCTGTTGATATGTTTGATTGTGGGAGTTGATATTTTTATATCAATATATTATTTAAGCAATTCTATATGCATTGTTATTATGGTTACAATGTTGGATGTGTATGGTTCCTTCTTAATAACCATAATTGTGATTTTGTGTTAATTATATGTGTGTACTAACTGCGGCATTGCCATAAGATGTCAATAATTGAATTCTTAAGACATTTGTATTTAACTCTTTAAGTTTCGTTCTTAGCCAATATCTGTATTTCCACTGGTGTTTCAGGAAACAAATGGCTTACAATGAATTCAATCATTCTGTGTGTTTCCATTTGCGTTTCTAGAAAAAAAAAAAAGGATTTTTGTGGATTTCTCTTGCTTGTTTTTAGAGCACTTGTGATAAAAAGAAATTATGGGGGATCGACAATGAAAATAGCAAGTTGATCACATTTGAGTGTTATTTTCTTGCTACACTATCATACTATAATCTATGTTGATTAAGTTATCTATATTTATAATCATGGGTTGGTCTTATGTCAATAGAGGGCATAACTACTGCCATGATTCAATATTAATGGCTTAATGGGGACGAGATTTTATAAAGATGTTATTTCTTAAATTGTATTTTTTAAAAATTTTTATGGTTATATTCATGTTTTACTATTCAGTCTAAGAGTCATTTTAAAATTATTTTCTAAATAAAAATGTCACATTTAATATTGCCCAAGTGGGAGTATGTTAGAATTTTTAACGCGGGCTACTATTAATTGTGAGTTATTTTAGTTTGCAAAAACGGACCGAATAAATACAGTTTAAGAATATGTATGTAAAGCTCAATTTGTATTATGTGATCACTTATATAAGGGGCTTGTGCACCTCTAGTGGGCTAGTATTACAAAGCAGTTAAAAGTATAATCTAATCCTAGAAGGATTTGTGATGGGATTCTATATGAATATGCTAGGTCTACTTCCTTAACCCTAATATTAGCTAGTCTCGTTAAATTGCACATTGGTCTGACCCCTTTCTTTTTATTTGCTTTAGTTTTAATCATTTTATTATTAATGAATGAAATTGAAAAGCCAGGTGAAAATTATCTAATTAGAGTATTAAAATTCCTTTTAAAAGAAAAACAAGATAATAAAGTAAAAAAGAAAGAAAATTCATTCATTATTTTTCAAAATTGTGATCCCTACAGACCATATATAGAACTCTGTTATTAATAGCTAATAGAGTTTATTGATCTTTTAACAAAGCAAAATAATTCATATTCTTTTAAACAATAAAACTAAAATTAAAATTAATAATGAATATGTAACTTGTGAAATAATCAAATAATAAAAATTTCACTTTCCATTTATAATGATTAATGAGGAAATTAAAATATGAGCAACACATCACGAGATGTATTTCAATTTCTTAAATTTCAGCCAGTTGGATTGTTGTATGCACAAATGCTTTTAAGTATGAAACCCTAATCTTGTTGTTGGATTATATCTCAAATTCCTAATGGCTAGAAAAAGAACTCCTATTTAGCAGTGGAAAATATTAAATTGCTTAAATTATAAACTAAAAACTTTCCTAATTATATATAACTTTCCTAATTATATATTATATATATATAATATATTTATTATATATTATTACAATATACATTTTTCGCCCACTTTGCTTCCATTTTCCAAACTTACCCAAAAGATTGTCTTCTTATTTTTCTTCTATGTCACGGCAGTATAAACTATAAACTAACAAGTACAACATTAGCTATTGCGAACAAAAAATGCTGACAACAAAAACCATAGGATACCAAAGTGTCAACAAAAAATAAAAAAAAATAAAAGTGTTAGTATGATTTTCTTTTTAAAAAAAAAATATCTGAGTATTTTTATTTTTATTTGTATTTTTTGCTTTAACAAAGTCAATGAAATTCTTGCAATCAAATATTTAAATTTAAGACTAAAAATTTTGGGAGCTATTATGTTTTTAATTTGGAAATTTCATTTTTTCAAAATTGATCCTCCTAATAAAATGATCTAAAGTTAAAATTGATTACCATTTTTCTCATTAAGAATGTCATATATATGTTAGGTGATTTTCTACGCTTTGCGCGATTATATAGTATATTTATTTTTGAGACGTAGAATGCGTATATTGAATAGATTGCTAAAAAATTAAAGTGTATACAATGTATAAATAATATGATTTAAATATATTATGTAAAATTGAAAATTTTTATTCTAATTAATGAGTGAGTTATTCATGCCATGAACGTGAAAGGAAAAAGAATGTTAATATAGTATTTATATGTGATCAATTAAAATAAAGAAAGCATATGACTATATAAACACAAAATAATAATGAAAAAAATTAGTGAAAACTTATATTCTTTGGAGTAATAACTTGAAAGGTAGAAATGCGTAAATAAATAAATTTGATAAAATTATGAATGATAAGTAAGAAATATAAGTAAATAAATTTAGAAGAATATGATTAGATAAGAGGTGTGAAAGCTATTACTTTATTTATTTATTGCAATTCATATCTTATATATTTTTTGTTAATACATTTTTTGTTAATACATCTATGTTTATTTGTTTTGATTTTTTGTTTTCTAAAATACTATTTTAGGCTATTTATGAACAAATCATCATTTAGAAGGGGAAATGGTTTTAATTGAAAAAATTATAAATGTGTCCTCATATGATGTCAAAATTAACTATTCTATCCCATATTTTTTAAAATATACTACTTTATCTCTATATTTGATTTGGTCCAACTATTCTGTCATTCCATCAATGTATTTTTTTTTTTTATTAAAAAGCTTATGAAAGGATACAAATACCTTTACCTCTATATTAAAGTTGCGTTTTCTACCAACTTATCCATCTGGCCAAAACAAAACAAAAGGAATATAAGAATTTAAGAACATTACTAAAAATATACAAGTGTTCAACGAACACCTTAAGTGCACATTGCAAACTTGCAACTCTTGTTTTAAGAATTATACAAACTTTCTAACTATCATGGGTAGCAACTCTCTACATGATCTCAAACAATTTTCAAGCATCCAAATAATGATAAACAAATAAAACCAAAATTCTTAAGAAGGTTCTAGTTCAAATGTTCCAAGAAGATGAAACTCTATTACTTCAAAATTTAGATAAAACTAAATTACAATAATATAAAAAGAAAAAAATTTCTAAAAAGCACAGATCTAAAGCCAAGATCTACAAAATAACAACATTATTATCCCTACCACAAAATTATGAAGCCTTAGAGTCATACCTCGTCGAAAACCCAAATAAAACCTCATCGGCAACTGCCATTATATTTCCAAAATCTCAAGGTCATTTAGCGACAGAGAGGGAAGGAGAGAGAGAGGGAGATAACAAACAAAAAGGGAATCTTTTCCTTTAAATGTAAAAGCAAAAGTTGAAAATATTGCGAAATCAAAATATAGAAACAAAATAGTGTATCTTAAAAAATATGGGAAAGAGTACTTAATCTTGGTATAATACGGTGGCATGTTTATAATTTCCTATTTTAATTTTAAGAAGGCACATTCCCTATTTTAAAGTTTAACGATAAAAGACATATTTAATTGTAAGATCATTTTGTCAAATGCAAGGCATACATCATGAAAGGATGAATGCTTGGCAAACTTATAAAGAATTAATAAGAAAGAATACCTAGTCATTGTATTTAAGATTCTCTCAAAAAAAAAAAAAAAAAAAAAAACTTCATCCCATGTTGTTCGCTTATTATCGTTTTTAGGATGTTCCAAAATGTTTGTAAAGTTTCTAAATTTGTATATTTAAATAATTTTTTCATAGTAACTTTTATGATTATTCATTAAACGAATCATTTTTACTATTATTTTAGTGAGTTAAGGATAAAAAATGGCAAAATAAATTTTATTAATTAAATTTTTAATATTTTTGTCAAATCATACAAATAAAATGGGGCGGAGAGTATAATTGAAATGACCGGATATATTATTTTCAAAACCCTTTAAGTTAAAATTTAATCAAAATGCCAAATAATCTAAATTTTGGCAAATGAGATAATTTTCGTTAATATTTTAATTTCATTGGTTAAGAAATAATCGAGTAAGGTTGAACTATAAGAAAATAGGATTAAATCATTTAGAAACCAATTGAAATTTCAATCGAATTGGACTAAACCGGAGTTGAACCAAACCATTAATTTGGACCGAACCAAGCTTATACCCAATCACTGGAAGAGAGAGAAAATTCCAGAATTTCATCTACTTCCCCTCTTCCGACGTCAACAGCTCTCCCTTCCCCATTTCTCTTTGTTCTCCGGTCACCGGCCACCAAATCCAGCAAGTAAATATTCTAAAAGCATCTAATTGTCGCAAGGAGTTTGATTCAGGTGTTGGTTTGCGCGATTTGGGCTTGGATCGAGACGAAACGAAGTCGAAACATTTTGGCACCGTGCGATTCCGTTCTCCTACGAGTTCTCACCATTTTCGGAAACTTGAGGCTTCGAGGTAGGCATCAATGGATTGCTCTCCTCTCTCTCTTTCATTTGACTGTTTTGGTGTCAAGTATGGTGGTCGAAATCGGAAAATCCAAAACGGTGACCACCGAATCTTTTCGGCCAATTTCCGGCCAAATGGTTCACACCCACCTCGAATTGATCACATATTAGTGATCCTCTTGTCGAAACGAATGAAATGATGTATAGTTTGTAAATTTTGGTGAAGATTTAATGTTCCGGGAACCATGCACGGTGGCCGGCGCGACGGACCGGCGACTCGCCGGCGAGGACCCTAGAGGTAGAATCTCCGGCTATTGACGTAGAACACGATGGTATGGGCCAAATCTTGACCGGTGAGCAATAACCTCGAATTCTAATTTAATTGAAATTTTTCGATTTAAATTGTTAAATTTTCATTGGCCTATAATTAGTTTACGTATAAAAATTTATATTTTGGAATTACTAGGGAGTTTAGTTGGGCAGAGAAATTGGATTTTGAATAAAAGAATGCATTGTAGATTGATTGATATCGAGTATGAGTTATAAAGGTGAAATACAAATATGTGTATAGATAAGTGTTTAAATAAAAATTATTAATTAGACATATATTATTATGGTATTAACTAAATTCATGAAAATATTTTTGCTTTGTGTTGGGATTAATTGCTTGTGTGGGTAAATTGATTCAAGTTGATTCATTGATGATACAACAGAGGATGAGTTTTGGTCAAGAATTTGCCCAATGAATGGACCATGTGTTGATATGTGAGATATATAAAATTCAGATAGTCCAACTTACGGAGGAAATAAAACTAAATTAGTTATATCTTTAATGGATAATAACGACTAAAATTTTAATAGTAATAGTAGCAACTGAAAATATTATTATTATTATTATTAAACATTACTTATTAAAGAAATATAAGCGTTATTGAAAATTATAAATTAGAGTAATAAACAAAAACAATATATATATATATATATTTATGTTAAAATAAGCAACTATAGTGGCCAAAATTAATAAATGAAGCGAAAAACATTTCTAGAATTTGGAATCCTTACATAGAATTTTCTTTTTAGATGCTTATAAAGTTTTAGAATAACGAGACAAAAGACGAAAGGGTACAATGATCTCTTTAGATGCTTATAAAGTTTCAGAATCATGGAGACAAAAGCTAAAAGGGTACAGTGATAAAGATAGTCCTTTTAAGGACAATAAAAAACTGTGAGTAGTGTTAGATAACTTGCATTGCCCATTGTATATGCATGCATGCATACACGGATAAATATTATGCATCCATATAAAATACAGAAATGTCATCTAGATATAAATGCACTATTTAAGAATTGTTATGTGTGTTGCATTATTTGTTATTGGACATTGCTTGATTAGTTGCGATGTACTTTATGTATACTTTGTTTGTGTAATGACGCCCCCGCATACATCTGATGAAATATGATACGGAAAACTATAGGGCGGCCTCCTGTTGGCATGAAAAAGAAAAGAGTATTAAAAAAAATGAGAGGGTTGATCAAGTGAGGTTGAGACCGATCGACTATGTATGGGAGATCGGCTTCTTGGTACACACGTGATGAGAAGGCGGGCATGTGTAAGGATGGCTTGTCGAGGGTTTTGGTAACGCCATTGACCAATCTCCACGTGATGTGATTATGTGAAAGTGTTAATATTTGTGATTGCTATTGTTTTGTCATTTGTGTGATTAACTTCATGATCATGTAATTAGTCGGATGACTAGATTGATTTATTTACGCATTTGTGTGATTGTATAAGGTAAGAGGGTTAACTAACTTACTCTCTGAGTTTAGGCGCTCATCCTGCTTTAATATTTTTTTCAAGTTACAAGTCTTCCAATATCTCATAATTCTTTGCCACCCGACATCTAGAGGAAATGTTGAAAACGAAACCTTAATTAATTTTATTTAGTATATTGAGATGAAATTTTGAAATTATTAATGTATGACTTATTAAAGTTTCCATCGATTAGTATGTTGATTTATTATTGAATATAATAATACAGGCCAAGCAAGCCCAAGACTTATAATATTAGAATGTTGATGATATTGGGCTTGATGCCATTTCTATTAAATAGGAAATTTATTGGGTATATTTTTTTTGGTTTATTATTAACTTTGGTGGCTTTAAATCTACTTAGATCCTAATGTCGGGAATGGGTCGTGACAATAATTTAGAGAGAATTTTTAATAAGCTTTTTTTTTTTTTTCCTTAAAAACCTACAATTTTTTCTTTTAGTTAAATATAAATACTTAAATATTGAGGAGTCTCTCTAAAAAAAAGTGTCATGTCAACCCCCAAAAATCAATAATTTTCCTTATATATATATATATATATAAATGATTTGGATGGAAATAGTGAAGAAACATCTTTATTATCAAAACACTTAATGGTGATATCTAATTATTACGTAATACAATGCAAAAATTAGAAGTTTGGTTCACAATTGTAAGACTGGTGCCCAAACAGACTTACACTTTCCTTTCGTCTCATTACAATGCCTAACCAAAAATAATAAATTTCCTAAATATTCCAATTATCAATCACTGTTCACACAATTATTTTTACTCGCATTTATTGGCAATCTTTCAGTTCCTTTCAACAAAATTTTTTCAGTTACAACCCAGGTCCTACCCTTAAGAAGGCTGGCCATTGATACAACCTGATACATATCTGTTTGTACCCAGAAGAACACCATTGATACAACCTCAAAAAGCCTTCTGGTACCAAATGGCCTTTCACGGTTGTACAATTAACCGTCTAGATTGAACAGAGGCAAGGGTGTACTAAGAAAAGCTTTTCACAATCACCTATGTTACAACAACAATACTTCACCCTTTATGTTTGAATCACAAATCCGAATGCAATATCTTCTCATCAGACACAGAGCTGATGAAATTTGGTGAACTCAAGGATACCTCACCAAAAATTCTGGACAGGATGAGTCGAGCTACATTCTCAGCCGCGACAGCACTTGTTTCCATGGTGCTAGCTGCATTCTCAAAGGCATTCACATAGTACAAATGCTGGCCATCCAAAATAAAGGGGGCAAATACTTCAGGAGCTTTATAATGAGGATAAGCACCCCAGTTTATTCTTATAGTCTCCTTCCTCACACTGTAAGCAGCATCAATAAATTGTAAGTACACAACAATAGATAGGATTCCCTATGCATAGTTTAAGGGGTTTTCCCCCCTTTCACTGCCGATGCAGCTTGGAAGAGGTGGCTTTGGACTGGGATAAGATGACAAATTTTAGATGGAACTTTGTTTATTTAGGTTCTATCGTTCCTTTTAAAAAAAGGTACTATTATTAATCATGGAGTAAACAAATTTATGACAATGAACTTTTTCACCTTTGGTCATAATCAAGGCCTATCTCAGAATATTTTGCACGTCACAACCAGGTCTGGAATCAAGAAACTATGAAGTTGATCCCCACCCAGACTACTAGTTAGCCATGTTGACCATTAAAAGAAGCAATGAATAAAGCATACTCTGAAATGGCATAAATCAACTTTTGATAACCAAAGAAGACTTTTGATGCAATTTCAAAGGGCTTTTTATGTGCAGCCACAACCAGTTCAAAATATTTACCTGAAAAGGGCATCAAGTAAAGAATCGGGCAAGGCTGCACGAGAGAATATTTTGTGAGTCATATCTGTCTCATTGTGTTTCTTGAGGATTGAAATGCTTGAAAATGGAATGTCTGGATCCTCTATCGTCCCTACCAGTTGTGGAATTTCAGAAACAGCTTTCAGGCCAAAATATGCCTGTCCATGGTAAAACATCATAATTTATTAAAGAAAATAGGACCTACTAGAACATGGATATCAATGACCCATGGGATTGGAACAATGTGGAATATACATTTTGCTAGTAGAAAGTGCCAACAGGACTATGAAATTCACGTTTGAAATGATACTTACAGGACTTAGGAGGCCTCTCACAAAAGTTGCATGTGTGTGCTGTAATTGCCGCTCAGGAATTGAAATTGGAGGTGTAAATTGAATATTTAACTCATCAAGTGGTGTAGCAATGACTGCAACTTTGCACATATAACTGCTTCCTTTTGTGGAATTGAGCTCATAATATCCTCCAAGGTAAGAGATTGAATTTATTTCTTCGTGGAGGTGCAATTCAACATCTGAACCATTAATTAGCCCACCTGCCATCTGCCAGTTCCCTCCTTCAATGGCCCATAATCCTCCACCAGACCCCGCCAAGGAAACTGCTCCAGCAAGTCCACTAATAAATACACTTTGACCATAATTAATTCTTGTAATGACCTATGCATAATTCAAAAGAATTTCGTACTGAGACAAAATTTCAAATATATAAACGAAATTATAACAGTTATGAGCCAATTCAAAATTTAGGCATTTCAAAATCGCAACAAATTTAAACAACTTTCATAATGTTCACATGAAATAGAGTTTTGGTGGAAAGTGCTTCTGTCTAGATACATTCAAAAACGGACACTTTGAAAAAATAAGAGCATATCAAAAACGAACACTTTGAAAAACTAAGGTCACTCATTTTTTAGGCAGTAAACTTCAATTTTTGCTTCAGTGAGAGGTCACTCACTGGAAACTGGTGACCAGAAAATACTAGCATGACAAATAAATTATTTCATCCAAAAAAAAAATCTCCTAATAAACTTATTTGGGCATACTCATTAATCTGTTAGTATATAATGCCCGAGCAAATTTAATAAGTTTTGAAAAAGAGGAAAAATAATGTTTTACTCCACCCAATTTATTCTGTAACCTTTTCCTTCCTCTCTGTGTCTCCTATATTCCTCTATAGCTATTTTTTTATCAAAGGTTCCATTTTTATTGTCATGTTATCATTCTGCCCACCGGATCTCAGTTGGCAACTCTAATTGAAACCAAAATCAAAATTTAGTGATCATACAACAGCAAATTGAAATTATATGACCTTGAAACTAATTGCAAAGTGGTGATCGTTAATGTCCTAAACTAATGTCTAATTGTGCAATTGTTTAGCAAAGGGAAAAAAAAAAAAATTATTGCCTACGTGCAAAAAGTGAAATTTTTGATCCTTTCATATTTGGAGCAAAAAGGCATTCACAGGTAATCAAAAATTATTTTCAGTGAAAACACATCCCTATATTTAGAAATTGGGTTGTTACCAGTTTAATTTTCATGAAAATTAAATGCATGTATAATAGTATGTTTGACAATAAAAGTTAGTTCAGGACAACAGTTATAACATCTTTCTGTTGCAGACAAAAAGATGACCAGTTTTTCATAAATGTTAAGGTTGTCTTTGGCATGCACAATTAACGAAATATGACTGAGAACATAGTAAGAGAAGAAATCAGATGCAGTATGATGAAATTCTATGTACTTATAATAGTAGACATAAAACCAGTATTTCAAAAGGAATATACAAATTTGCATTGTTAGCGGAGATTGGCCATGATCTAGTAATGGATTCATTTTTGCTTTTTACGTTCCTTTTCCATATAATTGTCATTCATGAACAAATATACTACAAAATCTGATAGGATCGAGCAATTCACTTTGCTTTTATATTTTTCCCTAGTACAAACAAATGCTATAACTAAATTCCAATACTTGAGGTTTACCTAGAGTTAGCATTCGGGTTTTGTCATGTCAACCTATAGGCAGGTCTGATCTGAACATAACAAAATAAAGAAATGCTACAACTAAATTCCAATACTTGAGGTTGACCTAGAGTTAGCATTCGGGTTATGTCATGTCAACCTATAGGCAGGTATTGCTGATCTGAACATAACAAAATAAAGAAATGCTACAACTAAATTCCAATACTTGAGGTTGACCTAGAGTTAGCATTCGGGTTATGTCATGTCAACCTATAGGCAGGTATTGCTGATCTGAACATAACAAAATAAAGAAATGTGACCTAGAGTTAGCATTCGGGTTATGTCATGTCAACCTATAGGCAGGTATTGCTGATCTGAACATAACAAAATAAAGAAATGCTACAACTAAATTCCAAAATGCTGTAACTGAATTCCAGAACTTGAGTTTTACCTAGAGTTCGCATTCAGATTTTGTTGTGTCAACCTGTTGGTATAGGCGGGTATTGCTGAACCAAAACATAAATAAAATGAAGACTTATGCCTACGGGAGGAGATTGGGACTCAGAACTTGCCCATAAGGAGGATTCATCCTTGTGCATTAATGAACCAATTGTGTTAAGTTAGAAAATGGAATCAACAACATTTACTTTTTAAGGGCTTCCAGATTTCAAAAGATTCAATTTTAGAACTTTTCCTACCGACTAGTAACCATTAGATATTTTCTTAAGAGTCAGATTAAATCAATCACTCCTAACATTATTTCTTACAAGCTTAACCTTTATTCTAAATAAAGTATTAGTTGATCAAATTGTTCATTGATGGCCATGATAAAATATTGTCAATATGTTATGTACAATACTTGAATGAAATGCAGAAATGTATAGAGAACCAACTTTGACATTAATTAATATACTTTTTCTAGAACTCATTAAAATTCTAGTAAAAAATACTTTAAATTTAACAGGGAGCCACTATTTCTGGAGCTACGAAGACAAACAGCATAGCCTAATATCTTACTTTTATGAATTTACCCCTATTTCATCTCAGCCATCACAATCTCATCACCACACTCCTCATAAATCTATTCCACTATTCTTCGTCCCCTTAAACTCCAATGAGTAAACATGGAAAACCCTTACATTCTTTCTGTCATTGTAAGATGATCATACATAACACTACAGTTCTCCTTACAAGAACAATTAAGCCTTAGCTCCAAACTAATCAGGGTCAGCTGTATGAATTCTCTATTATCATTTCGGCTCTCTCCAATTAATAGCAGGAAATAAGAAATAACTCCAGTTCTCCTTAAGTCCTCTTTTATCTAATCACAAAGGAAAGAACAATATTAAAACCCCCTTTCTTCATCCGTTCTCTCTGACTTCGGTCTTTCCTTTCACCTCTTTTGTCATCTTAATTTATGATTTCAACTCTATAGATCATTGGGTTTATTTCAGAGAAGCGGAACTGTGTTATAACAATTCAGATCACGCTTTAAAGATTTCTTATATTGGGTATTTTGGATAATCATGTAAAAGATTTTGATCATTTGAGGATGCTTTGAAAAATCACGGTTGTATGGCTTTTTGTGTGAACCGGTCTTGGATGAGAAAAAGATGGCAATCCCAAAATCTCAACAGATATTCCAGGAAAAACAATGATCTTTCAAATTTCTTCTAGATTCTTTTCGTTCAAATTCACAAGCTCAGTTTCCTTTTCTGATTGGTTTAAAGTTCCAATTATAACAGCCAAAGTTATTAAGTCGTGAGTAGTATTTTGGTCTTGAGATAGACAAAAAATTGCAGATAATATCAAGATAAAAAAAAGATGATACAGGAACAAGAAAGGGAGAGGGTTAATATGAGACACTTTCTCTTTGTTTCAGATGTAACAGGGCTAGAGCGATACCACAGGAAGAAGTGTTAAAAAGGTTCTGGCCATGGCTACTTTGGCTGCAGAGCACAACACCATCTAATGTATATACACATGCACTACAAGAACTTCAAAGAATAGAATGAGGAAAAATAGCAGACCTGCTACAAACCAAATGTGTGCCCACCAACAAAATCCCCCCCAAATTTGTTTTTTAATCCACAACAGCTAAACCACAAAACTTGTTCCAACTGTAGCAAGTAGTTGGCTCCACTGAAAAAAATTGATGACAAAGAACAAATAACTTAATCTAAACTGTGGATGGGGTTATGCAATGAAAATCACTCCTTCATTCGTCAATAGAAACTTCAGCAGCAGAAAACCTCTTAAATGAGCTCCTTCTAAATATTTCTGTTAGTCTTGCCTTGATAAAAAGACAATGGGATACCACTCCATCTTTTCAAACAATCTGAGCATATTGTGACATATCATGCAGCATGTTGTCATGGTGTTCTTTAAATGATCTTGTTAGAGGGATTTGTTTAGTATATGTTTTAACTTCGTTTGTTTTCCCTCATAAGTAAAATCTCTATTTACCATGTAATATTTTATTTTCTCTCTCTCTCTCTCTTCGACTAGAATTTCCATTTTCAATTAAAAGCATAGACAGGTGATTGCAATGATATAAAAGAAAAGGAAATAAAGGCGAGAAACTATATGGTTTTGCTGTATACATCTGCCCTCTTGGTGTCAAGCAAATCATTGAATCACAATTGCTCCAAATGATGCCTAGTAATTTACTGCATCTTCTTTTCCTTCCTTTTAGGAGTTGCCAACACTAGCAGTGAATTTGCGGAAAGTGATGTGATGGTCTGTTTTGAGTGTATATACAGCATATGAGAAAATCACATTCCAAATCCATTAATTTAAAAATAAAAAATATATATATATGTTATATAATTTTGTGAACCGGAAGTACTTTCCAGAAACAAAAAGGTCCCAAAAATTGAAAGTGGAAAAGCAATTTTCATGATTCAAATGCATCCTAGTATTTGGTGGCTGTTTGGATTAATGAATGCTATTATGTGAACTCCATGGATTGAACAAATACCATGGAATGTAGAATCATCGATTGTGAAATCCATGGAATTTCACATTCTATCGTTTGGTTGAAAAACAGAATCCACGGGTTCGAAGAAACCTTTAGGAAAGTGTTGAATTGTTTATATTCCATTATCTGTAAAAACTGATGAAATTGTCTCTCTCTTCTAAAATGATGGAATGCATAATGTGTTTTTACTTGTATTAGAAAAGTTTCTAAGAAAATAGAAAAGCAGAATTTTGTGTTCAAGTCGGTCAGTTTTCTATTTGGAAAACTAGAAAACAACTTTTTAATTTTCCGAAATTCAATTGAGATTTGGAAAACAACTTTAGAGTTTTCCTTTATAACAAAAAACATGTTTTCCAACTGTTTTCCATTTTAAAAAAAAACAAGATTTTCATAATTAAAATTATAATATCTATAAAAAATTTTTTTCTGTAAAATATTTTCATTTAAAATAAAAATACTTAAATAACATAAAAATTTATTTATGCTTTAATATATATTTTTATTATTACAAATACATTATATCCTTTATTTTTAAAAAATTTTATAAAATGATAAAAATTGATATTAGTATTATAAATAATCAATAACAAAGATATTTATAATATTTTATTTTCTTTTAATTATGAAAGTTATGAATAATATTTGTTAAGTTTCTAAATAAAAATATGATTTTTCATTGTTATCAAGTAAATGCATTTTCCATTTTCTGTTTTCTAGTTTTCATTTTCTAAGAAAACTGTTTTTTTAGAAAATAGAAAATAGAAAACGGGAAACAGTTTTTTGTAAGTAAAACACACCCATAAATTTGATGGTTTTTTGCCTATTTTTTCTCAACCAAATGAAGGAATTTGGTAAATCCATGGATTATTTAAATTCCAGTGCTCAAAATCCATCAATCCAAACGACTTCTCAAACTAGAACTAGACTATATCCAAAGGTCAAAACTTCTGAGAGGTTATGGATGACAATAAATCAAGAAATCACATGCAGTGATTAAATCCTCATTGAGCACCACATTCTACAAAACAAAAATCCAAAAAAAGTTCCAACAGCTATAGCATTTTCTAAATGTACTATTTGCCTGCAAAAGGGTGGAAGTTTTATCGAACCATTCGTTTATGGAGACCACCTTTGAGGAAAATGAAAAGCAAAATGACTCATTTCTTTACTGTCAATATGAACTCAGCTATCCCCTAAACATTCCGACTCTTGAAAGAATAGGCAATGGTAGGTGTAAGTCCCATTCCCCTTTTAACATCCCTGTTAGTCTCCAATTAGTCACACTGATCATAGTGCTGTAGATCAATCACCACATAATGTTCTAACCCTCCATGTTGAGTGAGAGAAATCTCCACCCATAATATAAAGAGTAAACAATAACTTTATATGTCCAAAATCCATCTACATCTATCAGTATATAACCCTTTCTTTTCTTCCTTCTATTATGATCATCTTCCAACCCCTATAATTTGAATTCTTATCAAGAGGAACAAGCCATCCCCATCATTTAACAATATATCCAATTTTAGTTAATTTTAGTTTATTTAAAAATTACACATAAACACAATAATACTACAAATTTGAACAATAAGCAGACTCATGATCAAGGGTGTAAATGAGCAAAGTTGGCTCGCGAGCTGTTCGAACTGTGTTCAAAAACAATTCGAAAGAGTTCGGCTCGACTCAAGCTTGAGCTGGCTCATTAGCAAATGAGCCGAGCTCGAGCCTAATGATGTTCAGCTCGATAGCTCGTAGAGCCATATCGAGCCCTATCGAACTTTTATATGTATTATAGTTATAATACTTATTTTAAATTTATTCGAGCCTCAAGCTAAGCTCGAGGGAGCTTCAGAACCTGGCAGGTTCGAGCTCGGCTCGGCTTGTTTACACCCCTAAATTCCTGAATCATGATATACTCTTATAAAAATTAAACCAAGAATTTCATTTCCTCTTGGTTAGATATTACTATGTCCTCCTCTTTTAGCTTGAGTCATAGAAAGCAAAGCATGGTATTAGCAGCTTGCAGGAATGAAGGAAGAAATTAAAAAAAAAAAAAAAAATCTGAATTTTGATTGGACGTGTACTCTAAAATATAATTGTAAAAGAGTAATAGAGACTTACAGTGACAAGTTCCTGTATCAACAAAGGAGATACTCCAACATTCATCAATTCCTCTTGCAAATTATGAGTTGTAAGATTGCACAAACCAGCCCACTTAAGCATCTCCTCTACAGTCTCAAAAGTGGGCCTGGTTTCAAATCCTTCGTAGTACTTCAAGAACTTGTTTACAGTATCCTGCATAAAAAAATACACATCAAAGTCCAAAATAAAAGTGTTTTTCTAAGTAACCAAACGTAAAAATATGAATAACCTCCACAAAGCTGTTCATTTTAAAAAGTGAGAAGCCGTAACGTAACAACATATAGAGGGAATTAGCAAAGGAAACCGCCTTTTGGACAAACGGAATCTTAGAATCAACACTAAAGGTTTTCAAAAGGAACTTCTCGCCGTCCCAAATACCAAGCGACAAGGAGCTCTCGTCATTAGAAGGCGTCTTCCTCTTCAGATTCAGCAATTTCGTAAAATTGGAGGCGTGGTAATTCTTAGGGTGTAAAATGGATGCACCGGCCTCGAAAGTCTCACCGGAGATGGTGACAGTAGCCATCCGGCCTCCAATGATACCATTTCGCTCGAATATCCGAATATCGGCGGCGGATTGAGTAGAGTAGCGGCGCAGAAAGTGGGCGACGGAGGAGCCAGCAATGCCGCTGCCGACGATGCATATAGTGGAGTGAGGAAGAGGTTGGGATTGGGAATGCGAATTGGGGAACAGAAGAGAAAAAAGAGTAAGAAGGCAGAGAATTTTTTTGGGTGGGATTAACATTTTCGGTAGTTTGATTTTGATCTTCATCTTCGCTTCTTCTTTCTTCTATGGGATTTAACCATGACAGAATTGATTGAAGCGCCAAGCCAAGGTTGACTTGGGCAACTTACAATATGTTTTACAGTATTTCGTAAAGTTTAGGCACATTGAACAGCCCGTTTAAAATTTTTAAAATATTAGATTTGAATCGATTTTTTTAGTTCAGTTTTGATTTTAGCATGGTTCCAATAAACTGATAGTTTCGATCACAATTTTAGGTGATATATATTTTTTTTTAAAAAAAAATCGATTCTGACGTTACATCTTTCCTTTGAAAATATTAATATGAGTTTTAAAAATATTGATAAATTTTATTTTAAATAAATTTTAGAATGCTCGTACTCATATAAAAATAAAATTAATTAATTTTACAAAATAATCAAATAAATTATCCCTTTATTTTATTTAAATGTTATTAATTAAAAAATTTTATTTTTAAATAAATTTTAGAATGCTCGTACTCACTCTTATAAAAATTAAAATTAATTAATTTTTACAAAAATAATCAAAATAAAATTATCCCTTTATTTTATTTAAATGTTATTAAATTAAATAAATTATGAGAAAATTTTTGAAATGCTTTAAAAGAATGGAATTTCAAATTTAGTAAACAATTAAAAGGCGTTAAAAAAAAAAGTAAAACAATTATAAGTTTTAGACTAAATATTTCTTCTTTTTTTATCATTTTACCTTTTTAGGATTTTAACTTTTAAAGGTAAAGTATTTCTCTCTTTTTTTATCATTTTACTTTTTAGATTTTTAACTTTTAAAGTAAAGTGTATTTAAGGAAAAAAAAACTTAAGTAAAGTATATCATGTAGTAAAATATTATTGAGACTTTAAGAGATGTATAAAATAGGCTAAGTGATTATTATTTTGAAAATAAAAATAAAAAAATTTCGGTTCGAATCGGACTGAAACCGCCAGTTCACCGACTGTTCAGGGCCGGTTCAAGTTTAGATTTTAATATTCACATGAACCTTAACCGGCCTTTGAACTGCCAGTTCTAATTTAAAGCTTTGAACCGACGGTTTCGGTCCGGTTCCTGTTTATCTACAGTACTATTCGATTTCGGTTCAAAATGAACCAGTGGCCATGCCTAGTAAAATCCTTATTTCTTTTTCTTTTTTTTTTTTAAATATGCTTTCCTAAATTATAGTCATATTAATGCATGCCTCCTTCAACATTTTAGAAGTGACTTTAGCATCTCTAAATTATTCTTCCGTTACATAAATGCATCCTTTTATCATGATTTTATATTTTATCTGTGTAATTGATATTGAAATGACCAAATTAACCCCCTTATGATAAAACGAAAAGAAACTTTTGCATTGGAGCGAAAGTGAATAGTCATATCGAGAAAGCAGAGAAGGGTGAGAGGAAATTGCCAGAATTGTGAGAAGAGGAAATCGAATGGAATGAAATCATTGGAGGTTTTGAACTCGTTTGACTAAAAAAGCACTCAATCAATCGTTTTATAGGCTTCGAAAGTGAAATCTCTCAGGTAAAATTTTGTTTTTAGTTATATTCAAGTTTTTGTTTGGTGTAATGAGTATGAAGTCATGCAAAAACTGTTTTTTCAACATGGAAATGGTTGCTTTAAGTGTTTATTTGATTCGTGACTTAGAAATTTAGCTTTAAATTTGTTCATTTTGTTTTAGGGTTTATAGAAATTGTTTGGAAAATTATTTGAAATGTTTTGGATTTTGGTTGCAATATGGCTTCTGAACGCATGTTTACTTTAAAGTTGAAGTATTTGGACAAGGAAATGACCTTTCCATTCGATGACCAAGATAAGCACTCGCTCTTGACTCTCCTCAATGATGTGTTTAATGAGTTGAAAGTGAAATGTAAGTTTGTTGACATTACTTGGGGTAATGATATGAAGATTAAGAATAAGGATGATTTGCCTTTTGTATTTGATATGTGCAAATTTGATGGTGTTATTGCATTAAACATAACTGAGAAGCATGTTGAAGGTGAATTTGATGCAAATGAATGTCATGTTGTAAATGTAGATGATTTGAATGAATCTAGGAACAAAACTGGGTCAAAAAAACATTATATATCATATGCTAAAATATGGGAAGATTTCTTTAGGCAGGATAAGCAAGATAATGGGAGAGTAAATAGGGGTACAGGGTCTAGTTGGGGCATTAGAGGGAGGGAAGGTAGAGTGAGTTTGAGAGGCAGGGGTTCTAGATGGAGGGGGAGGCCTAGAAGAAGTAGTGGGATGGAATACTTTATTCCTGAGATTGGGACAAATAGAGAGCATGGGCATAGTATAGATTTAGAGCCTGAGTCTTCAAATTCCCACACTGAGCATATAAACCTAACTCAAACACTTACATAAAGCCAAGTAATTGACCCAACTCAGTCCCAGCCCCAACCAACTACAAACCCCCAACCCAATCCCAATCCAATTCTCAGCCACCTACAAACCCAACCTAATCCCAATCCCAATCTCAGCCAACTTTAAGTCCAACCTAATTCTAACCAACTATAAGCCCAACCAAATTACAACCAACTATAATCTCAACCCAATCCTAGCCAACTACAAACCCAACCCAAGTAACTAATGACCCACCATATGGCCCATTGGATGATCTAGCCCCCTCCCAAACAACAACACACAGGTAGAGACAAAAAAGATACAGACTTAGAGAGAAAAATGAAAATCTCATCCCAACTGAACCTAACCATAGTAATGAAGACTCAGATATTGCAGATGAACACTACATGTGTTGTGATGAGGGATATGCATTCTCAACAAGTAGTGATGAGGATTTAGTTGATGAATTTGTAAATAAAAATGAAAATGTTGGTGAGAGAGTTGTAGAGGGTGTGGAAGATGACTTAGATGGTGATGATAGTGATGTAATGAGTAATGTGGGGTCAGATGAGAATGTGATTAAGAATGAGAATCATAGGAGCAGTGAAAAGGATGATGAGGGAACTAGTGTTCCAAGGAAGAGATATGCAAAGAAAGATCCCTTTAAGAAGATGTATAGAAACCACTACAAACCAAGTTCAGATGGCAACATTGATTTTTTTGTTGGCTAAAATTTTGATGATGTCAAGCAGTTTAGAGAAGCGCGGGCTGACTATGCCATTAGGGGGCTATGTATTGAGTAGGGATAAAAATGACCTTAAGAGAGTCACAGCAATATGCAAAAGAGAGGGTTATGGGTTTAGAATTCATTCTTCTAGGTTGAATGATGGAACCATATTTATGATTAAAACATTAAAAGAGGATCATACTTGCATTAGACTCATGGGGAACAAGAATCCAGATGCAAATAGTAGATGGATTAGTAAGAAATTGGAAGATGAACTTGAATCAGATTCACATTTGAGCTATAAGTTGATGCAAAATAAACTTAGTAAGTCTTGGGGTATAGAGCCTCAAAAATGGAAACTAAATAGGGCAAGAAACAAAGCTAAGGAGAAGGCAGAAGGGTCACATGAGAATAGTTTTAGAAAGCTAAGATGTTATTTAGAAGGGTTACAAAAGTTCAATGTTGGGACATTTGTCAAATTTCAGCCTGAGCCTAGGAATAATATGGATGAGCCCAATGTGTTTGGGGGCCTATTCATATGTTTTGAAGCTTTAAAAAATGGGTTTCTTAATGGGTGACCTTTATTGGGCTTGATAGTTGCCATTTGAAGGGCCCATTTGGAGGAGTGTGCTTAAGTGGGGTTGAAATTGATGGGAATAGAGGGGTTCTGCCTCATGCATTAGCAATTGTTGATAGAGAATGCACAGAAACTTGGGTCTTTTTCTTGGACTACCTCTCACAGTAAATAGATGATGGAAGTGGAGGACAAAAGTTAACATTGATGTCTGACAGACAAAAGGTATGTGAAAATCTTCTGTTTTTTAAATTGCATGCTTATTTTTTAGTGATTTAATGTTTGTTCATAATTTTTGTTTTGCAGGGGTTGATAGAGACAGTTAAAAACACACTTCCCACAGGCAAGACACATGTTTTGTTGTAGACACATATGTTTAAGAATTTTAAGGAGTACCCAGGAGTGGTGTTTAGGAAGGACTTTTGGGTAGCAGCAAAAGCTACTTATGAAGCAGAGTTTAAGATATACATGAAAAATATTACGGAGAAGCTAAATGGAAAAGCACATGCTTGGTTGATGAAGATACCACTACAATAATGGGCTAGAAATGCATTCTCAGATGGGGTAAAGTAAGATGACATCACTAACAACATCTCAGAGTCTTTTAACTCATGGCTGGGAAAACTTAGGACTCGGTCTTGTGAATACTCAAATTTTGAGGCTCAAAAAGCCTGTTGTCCCGGACTGCAAACAGTCCGGTCGGACCGGAGGCCATTCGGAAAGTTATTTTGAGGCTCAAAAAGCATGTTTTCCCGGATTGCAAACAGTCCGGCCGGACCGAAGGCCATTTGGAAAGTTCACCGAAAATATGCCAATATGGTACCTGAAACGTCCGGAAAATTACGAGAATCGCAGAACTGGTCCCGGAATATTTTTTTGGATGTACGAAACTCCCGAAAAAGCCTTTGGAACGAAAAAAACTAGCGAGTGGACAGGATAGGGTGACAGCAGCCGCCATCCACAGCGGCAACAGCCACCCTCCAGCCTGGTTTTTCCCTATAAATACAGCCTCGAATCGACAGTTTTAAGGACTGGGTCTGTGCTGATGGACGCTCTCTTCTCTCCTACGCTCCTTGGTTCTTTACTACTTTTCTGCATTAGTGTAGGTTTTATTACTCTGCTATTGTGATATTGGTCACTTAATTGAATTAATTTTAATTAATTTCCCCAAACGAGGAGCTTATCTGGAATTTCAAGCTGAAGCTAAGAAGCGCCGCCCGATTAAACTCAAGTATTCCCAAACGAGGCAGCTTAATCTGGAATTTCAACTGAAGCTAAAAGCGCCGTCCCGATTAACTCAGGTTATAATTGAAACTCTGCCCATTTAATTTCAGGCATTTTTGCTGCATATTCTCTTCTACTCTAAATTCTAATTAATAATTAAATAATTCATTCAACACCATTCGTATTTTGCAGCAAATTGCCTTAAAGTAAATAAGTTTAGGCTAAAATCCCCGGTTAATCATTAATCGTGGTATTAATCCTAACTCGGAACCTATTGGCTAAAGTGCCTTGGTTAATTTAATTAACTACGGTTGTAATTGCCTTTATTTCGAACAGTTCGGCTAAAAGTCCAATTTTAATCAATTTAATTGTGGCTAAAAGCCTTAATTCAATTCCACTGTTTTTGGCCAACAAATTGCCTTTACAGATTACATCAATTCACAATCTTTGGCAACAAATTTGCCTACGCGTTTAATCAATGACAATCGCCCAATCACATCGTTTTGGCAAACAAATTGCCTAAATTACATCATTTTGGCTAAAAGCCTCAAAATCAACCATTTTGGCGACAATCGGCTAAATTACACATTTTAGCAAACGAATTGCTTAAATCAACACTTTTTCGGCTCGAAGCCTTAAAATCAATCAACTTCGGCCCAAAGCCTTAAATCAACATTTTTTGCGACAAATCGCCTAAATAAACCATTTTGGCTAAGAGCCTTAAAATCAACGATTTTGGCAACAAATCGCTCGACAAAAATCATTTTCGGCAATAATAAGCCCGAACACCAATTTTGGCAAGAATAAGCCCAAATCAACTCTTTTGGCTAAAAGCCTCATTTGGGGGCAACAAATGCCTAAAACAAGAAATCAATTCAATCTTTGGCAAAATGCCTAAAAATGCAGGAAGCATAACACACCTCATGATGAAACGCATACCCCTTCAAAATGCCTTTGAATAGGCTGTATCGTAACTAGCGTCGGCTTTGATTCTCATTCAAATGAGACAGTACGTACGGCACTTTCGGATTTAACCCCCCGAGCGGCAAGTCGAAATCTCCAACAACACTTCTACTAGGTCCAATTGCATCACATTTATCTTGCAAAGCATTCACACTTAGGTTATTATCGCAATGACCATAGTCTCGGATCCACCTCTGGGGTTCGAGATTGTGCCTTAAACTTTGGGATAATTAATTAAAACTTAAGGTTAATTAAATTTGGAGCTCATTTAGGATTTTTTCTTAGTTTTCCTTATAAAAACTAATACTAAGCGTGGCGACTTCATAAACCAACATCGTGGAGCATACCTCGTCTGCACAATTTGCCTTCGGGGCGGAGGGTTCAACAGTTTGGCCGACCCGCTGGGGAACTCAGTTAGTCAACTCATCTTTGCATAGTGGACTACAATTGCTGCAATCAACTAACCTGCCCTTTTCAGGGTATTATTTGTTGTGCTTTGCTTTTGTACAGGTACCCTAACACGAATCAAGTGAAGTATTCTTTCTTTAAGAATGCTTAATAAGGAGAATTTGGACCTAATTGAAATTTACTTTAAATCATTTAAATTTGTTTATTTATTTGCACGAATTAAGAATCCTTTTCTCCATTGCATAAAAAAACGAATTTCAAATGAATTTCTTCTCTTCTGTTCAAATTTCTGAGTCTGGATGGCAAGTAGCGCTGATCGGCAGGTCTCCTTGATTATGCCGACGGACAGCCAAAGCGTCCTCCCTGTTACCGCAAAACATCCCTAATCCTTTTGGGGTGGCCCATGAGTATGCGTATTGTCGGACCCACGCGAAACTCCTTGTTTCACATGTGGTTAGGTGTATCCATGCTCAAGGCCTTACTCAAGGTTCAAGGGTCCCTTAATAAGCCAATTTCTATTTGTGTCATAAGCTAATAGAACCTATCTTTAGGGCTGTATCCTCCGGTAAATTTCCAAAATGGCCTCTGGTCTGGCCGAACTGTTTGCAGTCCGGGAAAACTGGCTTTTTGAGTCTCAAAATTTGAGTATTCACAATATTGTGCGCATTCATGACATATCATCTCATAAACATTAAAAGCATTAAAAAGGACACAAAATATTCTTTTTTGTCATGCACAATTGGACAAGGGAGTCGATCTAACTCACATTCAGCTACCCTGATACACAATACTACCCACTGTACCTTGATCCAGTTACCCTTATCTTTATAGGTACCCACTGTTCGAGTGCCTATCCAAGTTCCAGTCACACCTACAGTGCTATCACCAACCTCACCAGCTTCACCAACTTCACCAACTTCCAACCTCAACAGCTTTCACCAAACCTTCAACTGCACCAATGGCATCACTTGCTGACATCCAAAATCTCATCGGATACAACTGGAAGCCAGAATGGAGGGCTAGATGAATGAGGCATTCAGCTGCCCAGAGAACTCCTAATTAGCTGAACTAGGTAAGTGGTAATTGGAAATGGGCTTTCCGCTGGGAGTGATCCTGCTGCCTCCCAATCAGGGACCCTCTGCTGGACCGACGCTCCTCAAACCCTGCCCTTACATCTGGATGACATGCCCTCCAAGAACTGCCTCGCTTGAGCTGGAAGCTTCGCAGAAAATGAACAGAAAAACTGGGACTCTTGGAAAGGTCAATCAACTGCCCTTTAAAAACACAAAGGAAGTGGTGGACATGGACTCCTTTGTCCTGTTCCCTGAAGCAAGATTGCCCGACAAAGTTCAAGATGCCTAAACATGGACACAGTTGATGGAAACCAATTTGTCCAAAAATGCACCTGAACAATGTACTGTGGGTTTGCCCTCAACCCGTTTGGCTTTGAAAGCAACGAGCTGCCTTGCGTCAGTTGTTTTCAAACAATCGCTGACTGGTGCTAGTTTGAAAATGCGTTTTTGTCAGACCTGGATCGGACTAAAATGAAGACCTGGGAAGACATGTGCAATGCGTTTAACACGCAGTACCACTATAATATAGAAGTGGTAATGTTTACTCGGAGAGAACTGGAAACCACCAAACAAAAGAACACGACCTTTTCCTCGTTCCTTTACTCCTTACGAGGTGGAGGGCCAAGGCCGCCCAAATGATCAATCGGCCTTTAGAACAAGAACAGGTAGACATAATCATCAAAAATCTGTTGCCTGTCAACCAACAACAACTGCAAACTCAGTACCTACCAACGTTTCAGTCGCTCATTGCTACTGCGACCAAGGTAGAGGATTTAATCCAAATGGGTTAACTGAAAGAAGACTCGGGTACCTCAAAGTATAAGAAGCCTAGCCAAGCTAGCAAAATTCACGAAGTGGCGAGTATCACCCCCACGAATCCTTTACGTGTGGGGAATATGAGAAATGGCAGCCAGTCGGAGGAGGACTTACAATGATCTCGGGATGCCAATCCTTTTTGTATTCTGAAGGTCGCTGTCAAGGCATTAAAATAAGTCCTCTTGGAAGCAAGGCCACCACCCAACTCATTGCCGAGGAACTATAGGGCTGATGAATTACTGTTGCAAGTACATCAGGGGAACGGGCACAAGACTGAAGCAATGCTGGACGCTTTACAGAATCCGCATCCAGGACCATAGTGGATAACGGTTCAATCATTCCAAAGGGTAAGCCAATTATTAGCACTAATCCTCTTCCTAAATCACGGGATATAATGCCTATCGTTGCTGACCAAAGGAAATTGATCGATCCTTTCGAACTCATTCTTAGAATAATGACATCTGTGTCCTGGACCTGAATGACTTATCTTAGAGAGGTCATGCAATGATCCCCTAGGACGTAGGAGACAGTATGAACAATATTTCTTGGACCAAGTCCAAATAAGCCCCTACCAGAGGGTTAAAGGAAGACCCGGTACTCTCGCAGTTAAAAAAGACCCAGGCTAGGGTATCAATTTGGGAACTTCTGGCATCATCTTTCCCTCATCGCCAAGCTGTTTGCAAGGCCTTGAGCCAGCTACAAACATCGGTGGAGGTTAGCCCTGAAGTGCTGGTATCCACCCTTACACAAGCATCCAAGATGCAAAGCATTAGGTTTTCCGACGATGATTTGCCCAAGGAAGGAAGCAGTCACAATCATGCACTCTACGTTACTGTTCAGACTAGAGAAAAGACTGTGCCCATGGTTCTCATTGACAATGGGTCAGCTCTCATTGACAATGGGTCAGCGTTGAATGTCTGCCCATAAGGGTAGCTTATAGCTGTCTAGGGTTGAGGAAAGTAGTTTCAAGTCCATCGGACCAGATAGTCAAAAGCTTATTGACAGCACCGGAGGAAGTATTGGGGGTTGCTACATTTGAAATTAGCAATTGGAGCAATTGGGCCAGCTATGATGGAGGTCCCGTTCCAAGTAATTGATGTGCCTACCAGTTTCAACCTACTCCTGGGACGACCATGGATACATCATACTATGGCAGTGCCCTCTTCTTTGCATCAAAAGGTCAAGTTCCCTTACAAGGACAAAGTTATCACTATTCAGGGGGATGACAATAGTCAACTGAAGAAGACAAAGGGCCAGCCTCTCTTTGAGGTCAGCCCTGAGAATGCCAACCTGCCCCTCTCGGGATTTCAATATGACATAGTACAGTGCATAGAAGGAAAAACCGCAAACCCTCGGATTCTCTTTGATTTCGGGACGACGCAAATAAACTGCATGGTCCTTTTAATGCTGAAGATGTCCTACCTGTCGGGAATGGTTATGGCCAGGTCTGGAAAGACATACCCCACACTGCAAGCTTGGGAGTGCCCGGTGAACCAAGAGACCTTTGGGCTAGGTTATGAGCCCACTGATGAAGACCTTGCTGAAAGAACCAGGAGAAGAAAGAAGAAGAGTATACAGATGCGGCCTTACCTTTCTTTTGACTTTGAATAGTCATTTCTGCAAACCGAGAGAAACAATTCCTTATTGTGGCTTCCAGGAACCATTCTACTTCCCGACAGCTAAGAAAATGCTGTCCGAGCTGGAAATATTTGCTGATGCCCGGGACAACAAGCTAGAGGCAATAACCGAGTTGGAGATAGAAGATCACATGCAGCCCAATCTCTTTGACGAGGTTGTAGTTATTACTAGTAATGATGGGAACCAAGACTTGTTGAGCCTGATCAAGCCGAGTAAAGGGCCTCTCACCAACTGGTATACCGAGGAGGAGCGCGCTGCTGAGAAAACCCTTCCCGAGCCAAGCCTAGAGTCTAGACCTGATGCCAAGTCCTGTCTGGACCTGATGCCAAGTCCTGTACTGAGTCTGAATCTGACCTTGAGTCTGAAATCAAGTCAGAATCCAGTTCCAAGTCTTTTGTATCGGATTTGAAAAATCCGGATTTTAAATTTGATGTAATTTTTGAGGACGATCCCGTCCTTATCAATAAAAGCTTACAGATCGTTGGTTACCCTGCGTGTCAATCTTTCCAAGCATATCCTAGAAAAAATAATGAAAAAGAAATAAATGAAATAAAAAATGAAAAAGAGAAAATAATCATTGGGCAAAGAAAAAAATGAGCATACATACATTGCATCTGACTGTATGAACAGGGAACAGATCATTGAATGCTTGAAGAAGTTTGCCGATTGCTTCATGTGGAAGGCTAGTGACATCACGGGGATTGACCCAGCAATAACAGTACATAAGATTCTAGTGTACCCCGAGGCTAAGCCGGTAAAACAGAAGCTAAGGAGGCTGAAAACAGAATTGTCCTTGAAAATCAAGGAGGAAGTAGCTAAGCAATTGGAAAACAAGTTCATGGAGCCCATTGCCTACCCAACATGGTTAGCAAACATAGTGCCGGTTCCTAAGAAGGATGGAAAGGTGCGAATGTGTGTCGATTACCGGGATCTGAATAAAGCATGTCCGAAGGATGATTTTCCTTTGCCTCATATTGACTTGTTGGTTGACCGAATGGCTGGACACGATGGACCGAATGGCTGGACCAAGAGATGGCTCGCTTGATGATCTTCGCTGTCGGCGTACAATAGATAATGATGCATTTGCCAGACAAAGCAGAAAGATGGCATTCATCAACAGATTGGGGAACTACTACTCATAGGGTCATGCCTTTTGTGCTCAAAAATGCCGGGGGCAACTTATCAAAGAATGGCAACAACTATCTTCCACGACATGATTCATCAAAGAAGTTGAGTTCATGTGGACGACATGGTTGTTTAAATCGAAAACCAGACTGAAGAACAATACCACAGCACTTGAAGAAGGTTTTTCCTTAGGCTTCGAAAGTACAATTTAAAGCTCAACCCGGCCAACAAATGTCTGTTTGGCAGCGCTACTATCCGAGAGTATTTTCTGAGGCATCATGGTCAGCCGAAAGGCATAGAGATTGACCTTACAAAAGCCAAAGCCATTTCTCGGAAATGCCAGCACCGAACGACGGAAAAGGAAGTTTGGGGTTCTCCTGGGAGGCTTAGTAATCAGCCGGTTCATTATGCAATTTGGCCGAGTACTTGTGGTCCGATCTTCAAAATTCACTCAGGAAAGGGTTATCCGTCAAATGGAATGAAGATTGTCAGAAAGCCTTTTGATCAGGTCAAACCAGTATTACTATATCCGGCCAGTCTTGCCAACTCACCAAAGGCCAGGAAAACCTTTTGCTATTGTACTATCAGGAAGAAGAAGCGATTGGGTGTAATGCTAGTCTCAAGCAGCAGAAGACAACCAGGGTAGAAATGCCGTCGTACTACTTAGCAAAAAGGATGCTAGACTATGAGCTAAGTATAATAAGATAGAGAGTTTATGTCTGGCTCTAGTTTTGGGCTTGTACAAAGCTGCAAGCACTACTTTCATCCTATACACATATGTTATCTCCTGAATCGAAACCCCTTGAAATTCCTTATGTAAGACGGCCGTTCTTCGACAGTAAGATGGCTAAGTGGGTGTAAGTGCTCGAGCTTAATGACTTGAAATTTGTACAACGGAAGGCAGTAAAAGGAGGAGCCTTGGCTGACCAATTAAAGTCGGAACCTGCCCGTGGAAGACGAAATGAAAAGAAGTGGAGTTTGTTCGACGAAGCATCTCTTGACGTGCGAAAATCGAACGGATTTGGGGAAGATATATTTTGGATGGACGCTTCGAATTACCGGTAAATGGAAATGGAGTCGTGCTCAAAACCTCGCTTGTTGGAGAATACGTCCAATCGCAGGTCAGTTAGATTTTTCGACTGCACCAAACAATGAAATGCCGAGTATGAAGCTTGCACTTAAGGGGTTAGAGGCCGGCCCTAGAAAAGGAGAATAAAAGGTCCTTAGGGTTTTCGAGGATTCCAATTTAATAGTCTCCCAACCTCTAAGGAAGTGGAAAATTAAGGAAGAGGTTTGGTTCCTTACTACACACGCTTGGATGAATTTCGCTGCAACAATTCGAGGATTCCATTACTTGCCCCGAGCCAAAAACCAATTTGCTGATGCCCTTGCTACTTTAGCTTCCATGGTCAATGTAGAGGGGAATCAAATCATTCAACCTTTGACAGTTTGGCTACAGAAACAGTTGGCCCACATCATGAATTTGGTCGATGACAAGCCCTGGTTTTGGGACGTATAGAATTATCTTCGGAACGAGGCTTACCCGAATGGATCCTCGAAGACTGATCAACGGACATTGAGACGGTTAGCATCCTGATATTTCCTTATTGGGGGAGTTCTATATAAAAGAAGTTGGAACGGTTTGCATCTAAGATGCGTAGATGAAGGGGAAGCTCAAACCATTATGGAGAAGGGGAGCCAACATTATGGATTCTTACACACCGGGCGAGTCCGGTCCCCCACATGCAGGGATAGCTCTGGGCTCAAACAATTATGAACCTGGGTTATTTACTGGTCAACTAATGAATACAGATTGCGTGAGGCACGTGCAGAAGTGCCATGAGTGTCAATTTTTTTGCTAAGCTGCAAAAACAGCCTCCGGTCAATTTGAATCCCATTGCTTCACACTGGCCCTTTGCAACTTGGGGCATAGATGTGATCGGAAAGATCCACCCAAAGCCTTCCAATGGTCATCAATTCATCCTGGTTGCTGTAGACTATTTCACTAAGTGGATCGAGGCAGCCTCTTATTCGGTTTTGAATGCCAAAAAGGTGGCACAGTTCGTTCGTACTAACATCCTTTGTCGGTACGGAATGCCATTTGAGATCATCACTGATAATGGGTCCCACTTTCAGAGTGAATTTTTTGGGTCCCACTTTCAGAGTGAATTTTTCGATTTGTTGAAAGAAAAAAGAATCCAACATCATAAGTCCTCACCCTATCGTCCACAAAACAAATGGGGCTGTAGAGGCTGCAAATAAGGCTATAAAAGTCATTTTGCAGAAGACAGTTAAAAAGCACAAAGCTTGGCATGAAAAGTTACCGAATGCCCTATGGGGATATAGGACTTCGATCAGAACGCCCACCGGAGCAACTCCGTATTCCTTGGTATATGGTATGGAGGCAGTGCTGCCTATTGAACTGGAAGTTCAGTCGGCAAATTGGAAGTGCAGTCGGCAAGAATCATCCAGGAAAGCCAAATCAGCGAAGCAGATTGGGTCCAGAATTACCACCTTCAACTCCTGGGTATTGATGAGAAAAGATTACAAGCGATCCACCGAACTCAGGTTCACTAGAGGAGAATGGCTAAGCATTTTAATAAGAAGGTTAAAGACTGAAAATTAGAAGAAGGTTGTTTGGTCTTGAAGGAAATTAGACAGCCAGTCATAGACCCACGTGGGAAGTTTCGCCCTCATTGGGCTGGTTGGGCTTGGGCCTCACCATTTCCTAAAGAGATACTTGTCCGGCGGAGCCGTCTTTTGACTGATTTAACGATGGTTTTGGAGTTTTCACGAATCCATGTAATTTAGAACTCAGTTAAAAGATATTAATGTGGTAATTATAATCATTCTGCATGATGTTAAACAAAGAGCTACATTAGGCCCTGATTCTCCTCGGAAAAAAGAAATTATAGTATCGGAGATATGTAGGGCAGCCCTCTTTTTGGGGCCGCGGTCCTAAACCATTGATGGAAAAAAATGCATTTCATAATTCATTCCTTCTTTGCCTGAAAAACAAAAAAGAGAGGACAAGAAAAGAAAAAAAGTGAAAAAAAAAGAAAAAAACCCGCTAAGTTGAAAAACCGAAAAGGAGCTTAGCGCAAAAAAGTCGGGGCCCGCTAAGCTGAAACCTCCGAAGGCGGCTTAGGCAAAAATGCGTAGCTCGCTAGGCTGAAAACGTCGAAAGGGCGGCTTTAGGCCAAAAAAAGTTAGCAGCCTTGAATAATAAATTGGGTGAAATGCTCTGAAAGCCCAAGGCAGCTTGGAAAGCCCAAAAGTCAAAACTGTAATGTCATTCCAATAGAGTCAAGCAAAAGAGTCCATAAAGTTCAAAAAACAAAAAAAATAAAAGTCTAAGTTCGAAAAACATACATCCAAAGAAAAAAAATCCAAAGCCAAAATTCCAGATAAAGTCTAAGTCCGAAAAAAAAAAATCTAAGTGTCCCGTCGCCTACGTGGGGCAACATCCTTAATGTCGTCTTTAGGTGCTGAACCCTTTCCAACCTCGCCTGTCCGAGGAGCCATCACAATCTCCTCATCAGTCCCATCCGCATCATCGGTGCCAACCTGAGCCCAACACTCAGCAGTGCGTTCCTCCTTGGCCTCCCAATCGGCCAAACAGCAGTAATGAACCAGTTTCGGTACTCTGGAGAAGTATGAACACCGGCAGGATTAGGTAGGGCCCTAACCATGTGATGATCTCTAACCCAGGCCTTAAGGATGGCTCGGGTAACATCCGGAAGTAATAACTGCAAAATCAACAGAAGTGCCAGCCACAATCGGAACAGTCTGGGTCTATCCCCATCTGCCTTCAAAAACGCGCGAAGCGCGAAGGTACCACGTGCAATGGGTAAGGCCTAGCCGGTAAACCAAGCGATTGCGGCAAGCTAACCTGCAAAGCGGGTATGTCATACCAGGAATGTACCACAAGTACCTCATTTGGACCCAACTCAATCAGCCATGAGCGTCCATGCATCAGTAGACGGTATGAGTGATCAGATCCTTCGCAACGATACAAAATTGAGAAGGGTTATAAGGCAAAGAAAGTAGGAAGCAGCAATCAGCTTGGAGGTGGTCCTTTAACCAAACCTGAGTATAGACCTTTCTCATTACGAAGAAGAACCAAAAGAAATAAGACAATAAGCAAGAGGAGAAAAGACCGTAACCTCCCCAAATTGATCTTTCTACCTTGGAGAGACTGCTTAGTCCTTGCATGCTAGTGGTGTATTAAAAGGGATCATTTTTGGAAAAAAAAAAAGATTCAGAAATTGAAAAAAAATTGAGGAAAAAATCCCGTTTTTTACAAATTCAAATGGATAATCATTACATACATATAAAATTTTCTAAGTTACTAACAAGTGCAGGTATAGTCAAAGTACAGTACAGAAAGTACAGTAAGGAAAGTAGCCAAAGGCGGGTCTTTTGGACACGTCCGATTTTTCGCTTCAACATCTTATCTTTTCAACCAACCACCGACTCCCATAAAAATCATTTTTTATGGTTGCGGTGGGGCAACTGTGAATACTCAAATTTGTTGAGGCTCAAAAAGCCTGTTGTCCCGACTGCAAAAACAATCCGGCCGGACTTGCAAACCAATCCGCCGACCGGAGCATTCAGAAAGTTCACCACGAAAAGTATGCCATATGGTACTTGAAATTGTCACGAAAATTACGAAGATCGCGGAACTGGCCGGAATACTTTTTGAGGTACGGAACTCCGAAAAAGCCTTTGAACAAAAACTAGCGATGGGTGAAAGCCGCCGCCACTGGCCGCGCGCCTGCCCTCCAGCCTGTTTATTAACCCTATAAATACAGGCCCGAATCAACAGTTTACTCACTCAGTCTGTTGGACGAAACGCTTTCTCTTCTCTCCATCCTACGCTCCTTACGTTCTTTAACTGCTTTTCTTGCAAAATTTAGT